CTTCATGGAAAGTCATGGATGTGTCTTAGGAATGATGTACATTCCCAAGGACGTTGCTTCCATGTGAAAAGACTAATTTGCCCTTGGAGGCTTGTTCGGTCTTTTTCTGATCTTTTGGCTTCTGCATTGTTCTCGTTGAGATCTGTGACCTCGTGGAAGGTCATTTTTACTTCTTAGAGTCTTGTTTTCTGTTTTCGCTTCCGCATTCGGATCCATTATCAGGTAAATCTTCAGTTCATCACAGGACGTACTGGCTTGAAAAACCAGGACCGTCATAATTCATCCCAGACGGGTCCAGATGACCCCAGAAGACCTAAAGCCCATCCAATCCTCGTTAGAAGTCAGTTCTTCTATAAAAGGAGGCACAAGGCCACATAAAACCTCTCTGGTTTTGCTTTGAATTCTCTTTTAGATCTAGTGGCGGCTTTTAGGGTTTTGGAAGTTACTCTGAAGCATTGAAGGTGAAAATCCTCAAAAAAAAAGTGCAGTTCATGATGATGAAGACTATAACAACACAAATGATATCTTGCATCGTCATGAGTAGCTAATTCATCTCTTAGGGCATTGATGTAACCCGAAATTGAGTATTACAATTTGATTACTCTAATTCCTCTATTATGGTTTAATTGATGTAACCCGAACCTCATCGTATGCACCCCTAACCTATTGTACAGAGAGAAAAGATATATATATATATATATATATATATATATATATATATATTTATATCATGGACATAACGTACATTTTTAAAAGAACACATTTAACTTTTAGATTAATATTTTATTATAAAGGTCATTTTTGTCAATTCGCAATAACTTAATGGTTTTGTTACGGAAAGGGGGAAACGTGATAGTTTTTGTTAGTTTAGGAGGTTTTTTAATAATTGAAGGGGTTATATGTTGTTTTTGTAAACAATATGGGGGTTTTATAATTTTAACCTATATACTCATGAAGAGGATTAATGTTATAATAGGAGTCTTTTCCCATTTCGGATCCAGATGGGCAGTGAAATAGGTATACATGAGTTTTGTGCTATGAAGTACGGACACGAGATACAAGTACGGCGCGACACTGATTCAGCAACAAGGCAAATTTAAAAAAAATAGGATACAAACACGGCGAGAATACGCCTATAAAATTTTATATATATATATTCAAAATCCACAGTACTATATATCTAACCTCTCCCAAAAAAATACTGCAATAAAAGAAATACTTCAATTAACTAAGAACAAAACAATGTTATCAACAATTTTACAGTTTACATTTTACACACATCCACAAATATAATTTTTCTGATTTCTCTCTGTTTTTCTTGCTACAGTCTAAAAATTTATTTAATTTCAGTACTAAGATGAATTAATCAAATAAAAAAATAAACATAATGGAATCATAAAATTTAATAAAAGCAGAAGTTCAGAATCTCAGACAAAAGTGTCAAAAGAGTTAAACTTCTAAAATTACATTAGGTACGCCATTTTTCTTATAAAAAAAAAAATATACAAAATATACCGCGCCGTGTCCGGTACATGTCCTCTGCGGTTCCTAGCCGTGTCCACCCGTGACCAATAAAAAATAATTTCTGAACACTTCATAAAAATGTTGGACACGTGTTCGACACTTGTACGGGACCCTGGGAGGGGTGTCCGTGCTTCATAGGTTTTGTGTTAGCCTCACCTAATAACTTAAATTTTTGGATCCGATATCATGCCAAGAGCTCGACACGGAGGAGTCAGGGCAGACCTATTAATAGATCGAATTCTTATTGGAACCCGATCCGAATCCGACTTGAGATAACCCATTAACAATCTGAATCCGATAATTCTTTAACTAAACAAACTGGATATGGATTTTAATCAATCCAATCCAAAATAAAATTTTATATAATATGTTAAATATAGTGTGTGTGTGTGTGTGTATTTACATATTATAAAAATATTATTATTATTATTATTTTCTCCTCTTCTTCTTTCCTCTCTTTTTATTACCCCATTTTTCTTCTAAATTTTATTTGTCTTTTGTTTTCTATTATTATTTTTTTTAATGATTATTTTTTATTCTCTTTTGACATTATTATTATTTTTTTAATACCCTTATCAGATCGAATATCTGTTTAATAACAAATCGGATATGGATTCATTCATGAAATATCCGTCATATTAGCAAAACGGATCAAGTAAAATATTTATCGGATTCGGATTGGGTCAGGCCACATCCGATCCTAATCCAATCCTTTTACAACTCTACGTCTGGATGAGAACCCTTAAGTAGGTAGGGTGCCCAGATCTAGAGATGGCAAATTGGCAATTTGTACTCCCTACCCATCCCACCCTAAATGACACGGGTATGGAAACCATTTATGTATTGTAGGGGCGGGTATGGATTTAGATTTTAAATCTGTCACGAGTTATTAGCAGGTATGGGTTTTGAGAAACACCCGCCCTACTCTTTATAATTTTTTAAATTTTTTTTAAAAATATATATATATGTGTATATGTATACATGTGTTATAAATGTATACACATTATTGTGTTGATATATATATATATATATATATATATATATATATATATATATATATATATTATCTACTATGTATTTACATTGTGTTGAATTTATAATTTTTATCAATTTATTTATATCCAAAAAAAAAAATCATAAATGGGTAGGGGCGGGCATGGGTACGGGTACACTAATCTCCTAATGGTGCGGGTATGAATTGTAAAATTTAAACTCGTTTGTATGAGACGGGTTTAGATTTGTCCATAATTAAACGAGGTGGGTACGAATTTAGGCAAACCCTCTCCATACCCGCCTTGTTGCTATTTCTAGCTCAATCGTATCGAAAGCGTTGCGAGTTCGGTTGAGGGAGAATGTAACGAAGGGAGTCTTGTCTCACGTCAGATTCAAATAGAAAGTGAAATAGATATACATGGTTTAGTATTAGCCCCATCTAATAGTTTAAATTTTTTAATTGAATTACGAAATACCCTAATCATTATAATTAGCTTCTTGTTGTGTCAAAAGACAAAAATGATCCCATCAATTGTATTATTTTTGTGTTAAAACAAAATGAGAATAGTTTATTGAAAATTTCCAATACAAAAAACTATATTAAAATAAAAAATGTGCTGCTTGGTGTTTTGTTTTAGGTCGGATAACAATGGTGCATTTGGTAAAAAATATTTTATTTTAAAACTATATTTTTATTTTTTACTATAATTTTTCAAAAAAAAGAAAAAAAATTCTTAAATGACAATTTTAAAACTATATTTTTATTTTTAAAAATCTTACTACTAATGAACTTTACCGAAATTTCTATTTAAAACAATCTTACAAATTACACAGGGGTAATTCCGTAACATAGGACCACTTAAAAGTTAAAGGATTAATTACACTCACAGAGATTTGTCCTATTCACAGCTAGATGAAAGTTGACTTATTTTTTCACAATAACACTCCTTCAGATTTTATAAAATTAACAATGACAACCAGTCACTTCTGACTCAAGATAAATTGACCCTATTACCCTTTGATTTGTGAATTAACCAATTTAAATAATAAAATTACCATTATAACCTTCCTAATTATTTTAATAGAAAAAACTAACCCTCCATATTCTCCCTATATATGTATATACTTGCAAACACACACATACTCTGTGCCCAAAATCAGCTTGATTTCGGTTCAATGAATCCACGAAAAAAAAAAAGCAATATATATATATATAATAAAACATATCTAGTTCTAACTCCAAGAAGTGATCTTCACGACCATTGCCTGTGAAGATTTAGCCACAGAAATAGACTCCTCTCACTAACAAAATCCATAGCCCATTGATTCGAAAAAATAAATAAATAAATGCAAGGTGGTGGAGGAGGCGATGGTGAGTGGCGTTTGGGGCATACAGATCAACTCCTATATATACATACAATTGAATATATATATATATATAGCTACACGAAAAAAGAGATACATAAAGAAGATCCAAAAAAAAAAAAAAAGCATCTGAACGCCAAAAACGGCAGCAGCGGAGTAGCCAGCGAAATCCAATAATCTTAGCACCCAATTGCAAAATTCAATCCAATAATCTTAGCCCCCAATTGCAAAATTCAATCCAATAATAGTGGCTGAAAGTTGGAGACTGATGCTCATCCATGATCTTCAATTCCATAGGATACGTTTGATTACTCCACCATTGCCAAAACTTGGGCCACCAACACCTACCCAAAATTTTCGATCATTGAGAGCCCTAATAAAACATCCCTTAGCGATATTTCTCTGCGACTCCCAAAATAGTAGCGATCCATAAGAAAACACGAAATCACCCAAGTAAGAAAACAATAAGATCAGTCAGAATTGACGACAAAATCCACAATCTCCCGGTGACACCGAGGAGGAGGACGGAGGCAGTGGTGATGCGTGAAGCCGACGACAACGATTTAGGTTGGATTACGGTGGAGAGAGAGAGAGAGAGAGAAAAGGGGTGGCTGTGGCGGTGATGGGTAGCGTAAGTGTGGACAGAAGGTCGGCACGGTGGGAGTAGGTGGCAGTGGCCATGATGATGGCGGTCACTGTGTATATGTATGTGTGTGTGTATACATATATATATATATGCATACACGTAATAGAAGTCGGTTTTGCTTTATTTGCAGGAGCAAGGGTGACTCTATATAGGGTGAATGGTGGTGGAGATGAGTGGAGAGAGAAAGAATGGGGGGACAGTAGTGGTGGCGATTGAAGAGATTGAGAGACTGGAGAGAGAAAGTAGGATAATGGGTTAATTTTGGTTTCTTTTTTGTCAAGAAGGGTATTTTGGTCACATAATGGTTCTGATATTTTAGAATAAAATATAAATAAAATATCAAAGGGTAAAGTAGACATTTCATCTCTTTAAGGCTTTGTTTGGCTTCAAAATCCGTCAGGAGTGTCATTATTAGAAAATAAGTTAATTATCATCCGACTATTAATATAGCAAATCTCAAAAGGAAGGTGCGACTGTAATTAACATAAAGTTTAAAAGAGGCCCACTCATCAACAAATAGAAATTGTGAATCTGCAATACCTTTTTGTGTTCCATATCTAGGATTGTCAGATCAATCTATAAGTACTTCAAAAGAATCAAAACTTGGTACTTCCATCGACTATCTTCTATTTATTTAACGTGAATTACAATCTTTGTTTGTTCTTTGAAGAAATTAGGGCTCGTATTTCGAATCTTCAATCTTTTTTTTTTTTGACAAGTATTTTGAATTTTCGATCTTACAGAGTCTCTTTTTCAGCATTAGCAGGTCTTTTTTTTTTTTTTTTTTTTTTTTTTTTTTTTTTTTTTTTTGGGTAATTAAGTGAAGGGTTTGTTTGTTTTCCTCTTTAATTTAATTATAATTAAATTTAGAGTTATCATAAGGTCCTTCCTTAATCTGTAATTGTTTTTTTTTTTTTTTTGGTAGTCTGCAGGTCAATGAGGAAAAGGATGATGAGGCCCATCTCTAAATGCACAAAAAAACTCAAGGTAAGTATTCTTTATGCGCGCGCGCACACACATATATATATTTCAGACTATGTATCAGTCTAAATTTTTTTATTATTATTATTTTTGTGTGTGTGTAATGGATTGTTTGTTTGTTTTCCTCTTTACTTTAATTATAATTAAATTTAGAGTTATCATAAGGTCCTTCCTTAATCTGTAATTGTTTTTTTTTTTTTGGTAATTAAGTGAAGGGTTTGTTTGTTTTCCTCTTTGCTTTAATTATAATTAGATTTAAAGTTATCATAAGGTCCTTCCTTAATCTGTTACTGTGTGTGTGATTTTTTTTTTTTTTTGGTAGTTTATGCAGAGCTTATTTAGCTATAATTTGAGTAGCAGAAGGGCAAAAACAACTGTGACATCAGGTTCAATGAGAAAAAGGATGATGAGGCCCATCTCTAAATGCACAAAAAAACTCAAGGTAAGTATTCTTTATATATATATATATATATATATATATATATTTCAGACTATGTATCAGTCTAAATTTATTATTATTATTATTATTATTATTATTTTTCTGAATAATTTTTATTTACTATTTTTTTCTTTTCTTATTTGTAATTTATTTTGGTTACTCAGAGTAACAACTACATTATTTTTTATTTATTGGTAATTGGAAAGTGTAGTGTTTTTGCTGAAGCATTCTTCTTATTATTATTTATTTTATTTTGCAATTTATTTTGGTTCATCAGAGTAACAACTACAAGAAGGATTGGATCAGTCTGCTGCCTGATGAAATTATTGTTTCTATTGTGTCTCTTCTGGGATATAGAGAAGCGGCACGCACTTGTGTACTCTCGAAAAGATGGGAACATGTATGGACATACTCATATAACAGGGTTCTAAACTTTGATGCTTCAGAAACATTTTTTGCTCTTGAATCGGGACAAAAAGTAGTGGAAGTAGAAAGATGTAGGTACATAAGTTGGGTGAACAAAGTGGTGGAGTCTTTTCGTGGCTCAACCATAGATGAGTTTAGAGTTTGTTTTTGTTTGAATATCTCTTCTAGTCGTGTCATTGATAGATGGATTGAGTTTGCAATAGCAAAGAGTGTTCAAAGGCTCGAGTTGGACTTGGAACCATGCGACAGAAGTTTTTGGGACGTGGGTGAAGGATATGCTTTTCCAAACCAGAGTTATTTTCACATCAAAAGTCCTGCTGGTTTATCCAGCATTAGGTCCCTAAAATCCCTCTGTTTGAAGGATCTGAATATAAGCGGAGAAATTCTCGAATACTTCCTTTCCAATTGTCCTCTTCTTGAATCTTTACATGTAGAAAGCTCAGACCATTTAGTGAATTTAAAAGTTTTTGGTTCCTCACTTCGGCTGAAGTTTTTGGAGATTTCCAAATGCCCCCTTCTAAATGATCTCGAGGTTTGTGCTACGAGTCTTGTGTCATTTAAATATTTTGGACTGGGTGGAAAAGTAAATATGCAAATTAAAGATGCATTCCAGCTTGTTGAGGTGTCTAGTTCAGATTCCATTGAGCCAATAGACAACGCTCTTTTCCAATTTTCAAGCTACTTTTCGCAGCTCGAGACTCTCTCATTGGGAATTGTGAAAGAGGTCAGTTGGATATCTCTATTGTAATTGTTTTTTAATGCATTCTAAAGTGTTACCATAGTGATTATTGCTTTGTGCTATGTTAAAAACTCGAACCACTAAGTTTTAGAACAATGATTCGAGTTTTAGTACAATTACTTTGTACAAATATAATGCCAAAGCTTAGATCTGGATCTAGTCCATCTTCCCAACATCCCACAATACTTTGACTAACCCTAGTTAAGGGCCCTTTTTGTTTTGTTATTTTATAATAAGTTTAGCTTTTCAGGGTTATGTATTCCGGCAACTTCCAAAATTTACGAAGCTCAAGCACTTGACATTGCAAGTTGCGGCTGGTGATTTTGAAAGCCTTCTTGGTTGGACCAACTTGATACATGCATCGCCTTTGCTGAATAAATTTAAATTGCAGGTAAATATTTTATCCATCTATCTATTTATTTATTTGTAGATGCTGTTTTGCATAATGCCAAAGGATACTTATGTCTCCTGACTTCGTCTTATACCAACGGTTGTGGAACTTGCGTTGCATAATTATCTTCTTTATAGATAGTTCACAATTGTTTAGGCAGATAAAATATTAGTTTATATAGTTGTATATAATATTGTATATTAACCTCTGTAAGGTTCAAATTTTGTGAATTACAGTGTATTTTATATATCAGTTATCTCCTTAAAAGTTAAGTACAAGATTTCCGTTTCTTAATATCTAAATCACAGTTTGTACTTACAAAGTATGTATTATTATTTTTCTTTTTATTTTTTATTTTTAATCTGCTATAAGAGGAGGGTCATAAACAATGCATAATTGGAAAGGCAGAGGAGGGTCATAAACAGTGCATATTTGGTGTACACAGAGCTATATGATATGCTATTTAGTTTTATGGATCTTTAATGTTCACACAAATTCATGAATTGGAATTATTTCAAGTTGATGAATTTCTGCAATTAAAAAGATTGAGTATAACTAAACAACATTCATACATTTCAGCCATTACGTGGGTTATTTATTGTGATGTCGTGGCCTGAATTTTGTTTTTCACTCCCGGGTCTTAAGACCCCTGTTTAGTACTCTCTTGTAGCCCAGTGTACAAGGACCTCTTAGGTTTTGAGAGAAATAGAGACAAGGTTTCTGGATTTGATTGGATCACTTCAGGGTACAAAGGGTTCAGCTGTTAGGGTTTTGGAGATGCCATTGTTGTTCTGGATTCATCAACTCGTCCATCCTTGCCGCCAACACCACCATCTCTTCCTAAATAATCCCCCCTCTTTAAATCTCCTTTATTTCTCTCTAAATCTATTTCTCTATGTGTGCTTTATTCGTGTAGAAAAATTAGGTCAACTGTCAATAAACAATTTTCTAAAAAACAGAGAATAAATTGGGATTAGGACGAGAATAAATGATGGAGAGAGAGAGGACAATACAGCTAGTGATGGACCGTGGTCATTGTTTTCAGTCATTATTTGAGCGCATTTAAGTAAAATACACAAATCCATTAGTCCATTTGATGGTCCATCACAACTTGGGACTAGAGAGGTTTACCGTTTACGCTACTAGGTTTGTTTCTTAAGGGATGTCAGAGTAGTTTTTGAAATCAAAGGGGAGGTCTGTGTAATTAGGACAAACCTCGGGGGAGGTCAGTGTAATTTATCCAAAAAAAATGCTTTACATGTAAAAGGGTTTTACATGGAGAATAACTTACACCAAAAATGTTTTACTTCTAAATGAAAAAAGTCTTGGTGCTAAAAGTTTGTTCTGACTTCTAAGCGGTTATTTTGTGTTTTGATGGTGTCAAGTCTTACACTCAATTGTCTATTTTTAAAACAAGATTTAACCCTTTCCTGTTTCACAGTTATTATATTTCAAGAGTTCTGTAGAAGTACAAAGAAGAATGCGTAAAGCTTGGAAGCGCCCCCATCAATGCCTAAAGGAGGTGGAATTGGTTGGGTTTGTTGGCCATCTTATTGACCTTGAGCTTACCCAATACTTGATTAAAAATGCCGTCATGTTGGAGAAGATTATTATTGATCGTCACTTTACAAGTTTTTCAAGCAGACGAAGACCATCGATGTTTGAGGAAACTGAGGAGAAACAATATGCAAAAGAACGTGCTATGGAGCTCAAAGCGAGTCTACCTGCAGGAATCGAAATGGTTATTATTTAATAGGATAATTTAAATTTTTTATTTGCAAATTTTTCGAGCCCCGAGAGTTTATTTGTAACTATTACTAATCAATGTTATATACGTCGTGGCTGGAGAATGGTAGAAGTGGTGATACTATATGCTCTGGATTTATGCTGGGATTTTCAGAAAAAAGTTTCAAATTGTTGAGTGCTGATTCAGGCAAAACAGTTGCACTGGTGTGGCCTTTTTGGCTGGAGCCGCAGACAATGTGTCTGACTGCCAACTCCTTGGTGGGCAAAACCATGTTTGATAAGGTCCATTTGCTGAAGTTGAGTTTTATTCGACCAACACTTCAATGAGAATTACGTACTGTCTGAGAAAATTAACCATTTTACATGGACCCAAACAGAGCCTAAGATAATGAAGAAAAAACTCCGTTGGTACCATCTCTACTCTCAAATGTTGTGTTCAACGACAATATTGTATTTGCATGTTCTCTCTAATGTTGAGTGTTCCATGAGAATCTTGTGGTTGTATGTTCGTTTGCTTGCTTTAACTAATTGTCGTAAAATCTTTTTCATGTAAAACCTTTTACACGGAACATGTTTTTTCTTTTCATTTTCTGTACCTTATCATATGATAAGGGTTATACAGAATGTGAATCATTTTGCTTAATTTTTAGAAATCCTAATTTACAAACATAAACATCCTGTGTTGCTATGATTCTACCAATATTAACAAATGATGAATATAAAGAACAGAAATCCATGTCAAGGGCAGAACTCAAACTTCTGCACTAACAAACACCTTATAAAACCACAATTCAAACCAAAGCTCCTCAATTCCCATTACCATGCCATACTATCCTCAAATATACCAAAGGATTTATAGATTGACAAGAACACGAGAGACCAAACAACCAAACCCTAGACTCTATCATAAGAAAAACCAACTTGGTTTTAGATTTTACAGATTTATAGGAAAGTAATAAGAATCCAAGAATTCAGTAACGCATAGCTAGGAAAGTTCAGAGAATCCAGTAGCAAACACCACCCTGCCGCCTCTTGGTTCCTATCCTGTGTGGATCAATCTGCAAAAATGTTGATGAACATATGTTTAGTCAACTGATAATTGGTGAAGACAATAAGAAGGAAAAAAAGAGTTTTGAGAAAGTCGTAAATATGACTCGAGCAGTGTGAAGGAAGCATTATTGGCAATTTGTTTGCCTTAAAATCTACTGCTAGATACAAGTTTAAGAAAAAGTGAAGAGATTAAAAGTATTTTGTAAATAACGCCAAAGAATAGGTAGGTACCTAGTATGTCATGCAGCACTCTTGACCTACGGGATCAAACTGGGTAATGGCATTTTTATCAATCGAACCAATCAGTTTGTAAAATTATACCCAATGTTAAGTTGTATCCTCCATCTTTTCCAAGCTATAAGCAGAGCAATAATTTCATAGGGATAACGGTTGATTAACTAAAAACTATAATGCATCTTTTGGTCTTTTAATTATGGCTAGTAATATCGAGCTTACATATCCCCAACCCTCCTAGAACAGATTAGAGAGATTTTGAAAAGGAAAGAGTAGTTTATGAGTGCAAGGAAATGAGCAACAGTTTTTCCCATATAGTTGATGCTTCTCTAATATGGAACCACGTGTTTCCCATATTAGTCTTACTTATCTTAAACTTTTATTTTTGTACATATATACATGTTATAGTTTCATAAATTGAAAAACTATCATCAGTAAATAGCATAAAAAATGTAACTTCACGTTGAATGGGGTTTGTTGCCCAAGTATTAACCCTAGAAAGGAGGCGTGGGAGTTGAATAGGGTCTTTAGCAAACAATGGGAAACTTTACCAATTAAAAGTTTGTTATTCAAATGTGGACCGATTAAGAGAAGAGATTCACTCAATATAAGGGATGTATGTCAAAGTGCTCAAATATAGGAAAAATCTCAAGAATATAAAATAAAGATGTAGGAGATCTTAAGCTAGTAATAGATATCCCAAGTGAGACAATCTTGTAGTAGGATGTGAGATGAGAGCTAAACTAAAATTCCATTTATCAAGCACTTATAATATTTTAGAGTATTTGGCTAAAGCGTAAAATACTTTTATTAACATCTTAAGACACAAAGGTTTAAATGGTTTGGCAACCCCTGACTACATCCATGCCTCAAGAGCTATCTACGTTTTCTACCACATATTTTAGAAGGCTTACAACTTTATTTGTAGTAGGCTACTTCTAATTCAGGTCATAAAGCATAGGTAGACGGCTGTTTAAGCGTTAATTTATTAATTTTAAATCCAAATTATACCACTTTATGTCCAAATTTATGCTCTTGAAATGAATTTTCCAATTGACCTGGCCCCTCTTAAAAAAATTCTAGACACATCGAAAGTTATGGCTGTTTAAGCGTTCCCAGCGATTTTTGCTCATTTTTGAGATATAAGTTCATTTGACCTTCTACTAGCAACTAGAACCTTATAGATGATTCAATTAAGTTCAACGCCTAGTGCTACATGTCTACGAACCATTTAAATGGTACGAATGAGGTGCATTGAGTCCTAGAGTCAACTAAGTAAAGGGTTGAGCTTTCAGATGAAGTTGCTTCAAAAATAACTTTACACTAAATACTACAAACACTTAACCCAAGACTAGCCTACCCAAGTCTTTGATCAACAATTCTTTGAGCTCTTGGGTTACATCATCATGTGGCTTGGATTTACTTCAACTTTGCCATTGGTCTTTGATTTTTGATTTTTGAGTTCCATGATCATGTGGCTTTATGAGTGAGTCTCTTTGAAGCCCAAAACCTTTGAGATAGATATTTTGCTACCTTTTAATATGCACACTCAAGTAAACTCATTAAATCTACGCTACAATAGATTGTTATCATCAAAATCACCCAAACAACCTTGGGTTGAAACCTTGAGGGCTAACAGGTTCTGTCATTTCACCTATAAAAACAAAGAGTTAAGGACGCCTTCATTAATTGGAATTTGTCTTGTTTATCCCGCAACTGTTGTCACAGCAGATACAATTCCACCATTCATATCCTACTTTATCTCTCTAAATCTATATGTGTGCTTTATTCGTGTAGAAAAATCAGGTCAACTATCAATAAATAATTTTCTGAAAAACACATAGCAAACTGAGATTAGGAAGAGAATAAAGGGGAGAGAGAGAGGACAAGAAAGTGAGTGATGGTCACCAACGGGCCAGTAGTCTAGCAGTATCAGCCTCTTGTTTCTCAAAGGGAAATCTGGGATTTAAGTCTCAGAAGAGACAAGTGTGTGTGAGTACCAACAACTAAAAAAAAAAAAACAAAAGTGACTGATGTTCATTATTTGATGAGGATGAGAACAACTGTGAATAAAGATTGTTTGGTTGTTGAGTCCCATCAGCAAGAGAGGGATAATTTAGTAATTTTTAATCATTATTTGATGTGAGTAAAGTGAGTTTGACGATACCTCACTACCAGGGAGGTCTTTGTTACAAGTTTTGTTTTTGTTTTTGTTTTTTGTTTTTTCTTGTTAAGGAGGTTTGAGTAATTTTTGAAACTATAGGGAAGGTCTGTGTAATTATGACAGATCTCAAGAAAAGTCAGTATAATTTACTCAAAAGTTCACTTTAGATGTAAAAGATTTTACACGGAGAATAATGTACATGTGCTAAAAGTTTGTTCTAACTTCTAAGCATTTATTTGTATTTTGATGGTCATAATCTTACACATTTAGTTGTCTATTTTTTTTTTTTTTTTTAACAAGATTTAACCCTTTTCCTGTTTCACAGTTATCATATTTAAAGAGTCCGGTGGAATCACAAAGAAGAATGCGTAAAGCTTGGAAGTGCCCCCATCAATGCCTAAAGGAGGTGGAATTGGCTGGGTTTTTTGGCCGTCTTATTGACCTTGAGCATACCGGATACTTGATTAAGAATGTTGTCATGTTAGAAAAGATTATTATTGATCATCACTGTACACATTTTAAGAGCAGACCAAGTCCATGGATGTTTGAGGAAATTGAGGAGAAACAATATGCAAAAAAACGTGCTATGGAGCTCAAATCAAGTCTACTTTCAGGAATAGAAATGGTTATTATTTAATAGCATAATTTAAATGTTTTATTTGCAAATTTTTTCTAGCCATGATAGTTTATCGTGCTTGAATCCATTTAATCTGCATCTTTTTTTCTTTTCTTTTTTTAATCTGTTTTGAGAATGGTAGAAGTGGTGATACTTCAAAAGAAAAGTTTAAAATTGCTGAGTGCTTGGCACCGTAACTGTGGCTCTATGGTGGCATCCACAGCCAATATAAAAATTATTACGACTAAATCCCAATCAATCATAACTTAACATGTAAGTAAAATTTTAAATAATTTCTCCACCATGCTTGTGATAAGGTCGATTTGTTGTTGAGTTTGATCTTCTTTATTGGACTTAACACTTTGATTGATTCCTGTCCAATGAGAATTAGATATTGTCAGAGAAAATTAAACATTCTAGGTTGACCTAAACAGAGAATTCCAATTGTTTGTCATAAAAATGGGTATTAGTTTAAAAGGTATGATTTTTTTTTTTTCCAAAAGAGAGGTTGAGTGTTGGATTATAATATTGTCGGTGTGTGTTTATTTTAAATTTCAGAATATATATGTGTGTGTATATATATTTATTTATGATTTTTTTTTTTCTCCAAAAGAGAGGTTGAGTGTTGGATTATATTATTGTCGGTGTGTGTTTATTTTAAATTTCAGAATATATATGTGTGTGTGTGTATATTTATTTATTTATTTCTCCTTAAAAAGTTTAATTGTAAATCCTTTTACATAAAATTTATTTATTTTTTTATTTTTTTTCTGACCCCTAATGCAAAGGAACTTCCAACTATTCTTAGTGAAATTTTTGGAATAATTTCACTAATACCCCCTTAGATTTTGCCAAATATCACCCTCAAATATCTTTCGAAAATAAATATTACTCACATTACAAACGTTTGCTTCATTTTTCACTCACACCCCAAAAGTTAGTTGACATGTGTGTCAGACCACTTTTTACAGGTACAAAGACATTCTTACCCTTTGACTTTGGTTTGACCCATTAAATTATTTTTTTAATGATTAAAATAACATGTTTACTCTTATTTGACTTTAGTTTGACTAACTAAATTATTTCTTTAAGTATTCAAATGATATGTTTACCCTTACTTTTCCATTAAAATCAACTAACCCTCTTTAGCCGTTGTATATCTTTAGTCGTTCCGTTTCATAATAATGTGTATTGAATTGTATATCTTTAGCCGTTCCGTTTCATAATAATGTGTGTTGAATACATATACTGGTGTTTACAAACATATCAAACCTGTCAAAAACCAAAAAAGGCAAATATATAACGGAATACATAAAGGAAGCAAAGAAACCCTCAAAACCTGTAAGAGATGATCAAAAGGCAGTGAAGGTAGGAGAACTTTGAGTGTGTGT